AAAACAATACTACATATTGCTTAGGGAGGCATACACTTATAATAAAACTATGGAGAAATGCAAGAAGATAAACTCTAAATTCAGGGGAAGGGAAGAGGATAATCAGGGAGAAATTTCAGGGGCACAAGAATGTGTCCTCGTGGGTGCCCAGGTATCTGCCTCTTACCCTCTATGTCTGAAAGATTCCTTCATATTTTCTAAAAGTCCATGTTGCTGTCCTCAGAACCTCTTCCCAGGTGACAAACTTGTAAGGCACTTCGATCTCCAGCCTCCAGAATGGGAGGGGCTCGCACTTGCAGAGGCAGAAGTGGGGTGCGGAGGATTGGGGTTCCTGAGCTCTCTGACAAAGCTGGCCATGACAAAGGCAGAGGGCAATGACCAGCACTGCCTGCACTCTCCAGTGTGGGTGGAGACCAAACCAAAGGCCCCTGACTCATGGGCCACCCCCCACGCCCGCCCTAAAAATACCAGCTCTGGCCTCTGAGTATGACTCCTCGGTGACAAGACTCCCACAGCACCCCTCCCCTTGTCCTCCCCCCACACACATCCATCTGCCTAGACCACCAGTTTGTCCACCCCGTAGGTGCTCAAGGACACAGGGACCAGCCTCGGGGTAAGGTCCTCGGGAAGAGAAGAGCTCCACAGGAAGGCAGCCCCAGACAAAGAGCCAGCAGTTCCCCAGGCCAGTCATCCATTCCTCTAGGAAGAGTGACTGTCCTGGGCCGGTCATGGGGAAAAACATGGAGAACTTCCTGCAACTGGCCGTGGAGGCTGCCAAGATCTGTCTCTAGGGTTGGGGAGCTTCTCCCTCTTCCCTGGGCCCTCTTTGGCACAACCCTCCAGAGGACTCCCGACACCCTCCCTTCAGAGAAGGACGGAAAGGAGGGCAGTGGCGCAGCTCTAGGAGCAGGGAGGGTGGGCACAGGAAGACATGGCCTACCAGGAAAAGCTCAGGGAGGCCCAATCGCTGGGCTACAGAATTTTCAGAGCGGGAAGAGGACACCCTGAGGCAGCAGCCAGTGCAATCCCTTCATGTTGCAGCTGGGATGCCAAAGTCAGCAAAGCGAAGAGGCCTGTCCAAGGTGGCACGGGATGGCAGTGAGGCCGAGGGGAGGGGCCCGGGTCTTCCGGTGGCCAGCTGTGCCTTACCTGCCTCACCACCCTACTACCCTGTCTCTTTCCTTCCCTCTCTCCCCCAAAGTGGTCAGGTGAGCGAGGAGGGAGCAAAGAGGAGGTAAGAAAGGAAGGACCTGCATCAAGCCCCCTCCCCACTGCTGTGAAAGCAAGCCATCTGTAACACACCGGGAGGCAGCGTGCTCCCTGACGCTGAGGGTGGGGATCAAGTGGAGGCTGGATGATCACCTGCTGGGGTGCTGGGTGCTGTTGAGGGAACTTGGGCCAGATGTCCTGTGTGCCCCTCACACAGGTAAGCTTCCACTATTCTAATCAGGGATGGAAAGAGGTCTGAGACAAAGCAAAGGATGACCCCGTCCGAGAGGACACGGCATGGCCCATAGGTGGCAGTGGGTCGATGGCAAGTTTTCCTGAAGCACGGAAACACAGACCATCCTCATCTTCTCCTATTAAAATCCCTTCAATGCCCTTGTGATGATCACCATTAACAAGGTCAGCAGGGGCATTTACTGATGGCTTACCCCGCACCAGCCCTGTGCTGAGTGCTTGCACGCACTGTCTCATTCATTCGCCCCACTCTAGAAGGTAGCACGGGGGGCACAGAACCTTACAGGTGAGGAAGCAGAGGCAGCACCCACCCAGGAGTGCCCAACTCGAAGGAGGGGCTCCACACCAGGGGTTCTCAAAGAGCCGCCCGGACCAGAAGCAGCATCTCCAACACCTATTGGATCAGACACCAGGGGCCACAGCCCAGCGATCTTACAAGACACCCAGGTGGTGCTGAAGCCTGCTTAAGTTTGCCAACCAGTGGTCTAATCACTTCCCAATGCTGCCCACAGGGAAAAACCAACACGTCTCTACCTGGCAGTCAAGACCTTAGGGTTTTTCCTAGCCCAGCTGGTCAGCTTCCCCAACCCAGCAGAACCTTACCCCACATCTGCTGCTCAGCCCACCAAGTTCCAGAAGGGGCTCAGGCCCCGCTCTGCACCTCATCCGCAGACCTGGCCTTGGAGTCACCTCTCTCCAGAAGCCCCCAGCCCACCTGGCACCTGCAAACTGCTCCGCACGACAGTCAGACTTACTGCCGGGCACTTGCTGGCACACAAGGGCTTCCAGACAGCACTCTGGGCGCCTTCCTCCCCATTAACTACAAGCTCCTCAAGGGCAGGGCCATTCCTATGCACCTGAGCATCGGGCCATATTCACAGCACCAGGCACGAGGGCCATCAGGAAATGTTTGCTGACTGTAGAGATGGATAAAGGGTGATGGGAAAGATTAAATTTTTTTGAAATGAAAAAAAAAAAGCCTCGGGAAGCAAGTTCTGGTTCTCATTCCAATTCTGCCACTACCCCTCTGGGACAAGTGCCTTCCCATCTCTAGGCCTCAGTTCCCCACCTGGGAAATGCACCATTATCCTAGTTGCTTCTATTCTACTCCCCCATTGAACAAAGCCAGCAGGGCCTTACCCTCGACCCTCTTATCTATTATCAGGGATGCACACATGAAACCAAAGAGGCCCTTGCTCTCACTCTTCTAGGAAAAAGAAAGACGACAAACTGAAATTACTATATGCCAGACACTGAGTTCTATACATAGACTTTCTCATTCACAAATAAATAAGATTATTTCAGAGGATGACAACTGTATAAAAAAAATACAATAGTTTTATGACAGAAAGTGAAAAAAAGGGGCTACTTTGCATAGAAAGGTCAGGGAAGGCCCCTCTGAGGAGGTGACATTTGAGCTGAGACTTGACAAATAAGGAAGAACCAGCCATAGAAAGAGCCAGAGAAAGGAGTTCCAAGCAGAAGGAACAGCATATACAAAGGCCTCAAGGAAAGGCCAAGCCTGGCAGGGAAGAAAAGCAGGGGCCATGGCTACACCGCAGTGAGAGCAGAAGTAAGGTAGTACCAGGGGACTCAGAGAGGGAGGCAGACAAACAACCTCTTACAAGTCTAAGGTGCTCAAATCAGGTCGGCCCGACCCAACCCAGGACATCCGGGCCCAAGTCACAAGCAGCACTGGGGGTAAGGGTATGAGTCAGACCCCACGGCTTCCTGGGGCCCCAAAGGACTGGTGTGGGCATAGGGGTAGGCACCAACCCTCAGCATGAGTGCCATGCCATACCCACTACCCACGGGACACCCACGGGTGGGGGGAAACAGGGTCACCTAAGTATGTAGAACACAGGACTCTCACTGCCGCTTTCAGAGGGACATGATCAAGTGCTTCCATGAAGCGCCAGTCCCCGATGACATTATTTTCCCAGGACACAGCAAGGACAAGAGCCTTGGTCAGTGAAAAGGAACAAGATCCAGGGTTCAAAGCTTACTAGTTTGGGGCCAGTCTTAACCTTTTGGGCCTCAGTTTCCTCACCTGAAAATTGAGGCTACTAACAGTCATGATCTCCTAGGATGGTTGAAAAATTACATGAGATACTGAATGTAAAGCACCAGGCCTGGCACATGGTAAGTGTTCATAAATGTAAGCTGTTATTATTACCAGTACTGGTTGCTCACTGCCTCAGTTCCCTCTGCTGTAAAATAGGGATATTGATACAACATCATAGGATTGCTATAAGTCTGTACTAATAAATACTCCAGCTTCCTAATGCAACATCCATTGTCGGGAATTAAAAAAAAAAAATGCTGAGAGTCCCCTTTCCTGACCTCTCATCAGATGCCGAATTCCCCTCTACCATACCCCACTGTTTGGAAAGTGAGTAAGTGCTGCTTAAATTCCATTTTGACTATACTGTGAAATAAAAATGATGCATTCGGAATCCACAGCTTCCCCTGCGCTGTCATTCTGCAAGGGGGTGGGGATGGATGTTGCAGATTCTTCCGCATCGTCCACAAAAGTCCCGCCCTCCCAACCAAAACACAATCTGTTGCCCAGTCACATAAACACGTCCATACACACGATTAACGAATGTATAATGCCATCGCTTCCATACACATCAATGTATGCACACAAATGTCCTACAGTGGAAAAGTCACCCATACGGAGAAACTCCACACGCAAAATCATTCCCAGAAATTCACTTACAGATACCCCGCACATGCACACCGATGTAGTCTCCAACACTGTGCAAATATGGTCAACAGTAGAGCGGGGGACTCAGAGACAAATGCCAGCTTTCAAATCCTGCAACCCCCTAGCTGTGTGACCCCAGTCTCCAAGCGCCTCGGTTGGGAGCAAAATGGGGACAATAATACTAATACTCATTTTGAAGAGGAATGTTATTTTCCTCTTCATTACCCATGCACACCGCTTCCAAAACTGGCCTCCCCCAGCGGTTCTCAACCTGTGGGTCGCGACCCCTTTGGGGGTCGAACGACCCTTTCACAGGGGTCGCCTAAATACATCCTGCATATCAGGTGTTTACATTACGATTCATAACACTGGCAAAATTACAGTAATGAAGTAGCAACGGAAATAATTTTATGGTTGGGGGTCACCACAACATGAGGAACTGTATTGAAAGGGTCGCGGCATTAGGAAAGTTGAGAACACTGCGTGAATGTAAACAGACTCAAGCTCACGCGCTCTCTCCACCGGCCGACGCACACCGCCTGCAAGCCCGGCACTGGCCTGCACCCGGTTTCTAGACACGCGCGCCTACGCAGCGCGCACGCGCACCCACCACCCTCCGCGAGAGCAGGGATTCCCCACAGAGCCGGACCCCCCAGGAGGCGCCCCGCGACCCGGGGCCTCAAGCGCCATTGCCCCTGAGCCGAGAATCCCAGGCCACCTGGCGGGGCCTGACCTCCCACTCCATGCCAGGCCGCTGCCGAGGCGCTGAAGGGCCGGTCTCAGACGCCCTTCCTCCCCCTCCATCCTCGCTCCGGCCCGGCAGGCTTACCTGAGGGTGAGGGCCTTGAGGGACAGCGCCCTCTCTCCGCGCCCAGCACGGGCTCCGGGGACGCTCCAGGGACGGGGTGGCGGGGTAGCGGCCCGGGCGGCACACCTCCGGCTCCTGGGAAGGGGCTGGGACGAGGAAGTGCCGGGGGCCGGGCGGCCCCACCCCTGGGAAAGTCCCCGGAGATTGACAGGCCTGTCGTCCAATCGCGCCGTGCTCTAGGGCGGGCCCGCGGCCGCTGGGGTGGAGCCCGGCGAGGTAAACAGCCCGAGCAGCTGCCGAGCGGCCGCGGGTGTCCGTCCCTCGGGCCGGCGACGCCCCGGGTCTGGGCAGCTCCAGACGGCACTCCCGGCGCCGGATCCTCGGGCTCCGGAGTGAGGCTGCGACCACTTGAAAGCCCAAACTACCGAGCGGAGACGAGCCGCAGAGACCACCCCACAACTTCCTGGGGCCGAGGGGCACCGGGCCAGAGCGAGGAAGGAACTTGCCAAAAGGCACGTAGCGTTTGGAGCTCAGCCCGAGCGGCTGCTCAGGGCCCCGGCGAGCGGGGCTGGGCGCTCCCGGACTTGTGAGCAGAGCTCATAGAAATTCCGAGCTGGAGGGACCCTGCAGGACTCTCACTGTTGCTGCTAACATGCACTGCTCCAGACACTGTAAACACTTTGCACGCATTACTTCAATTTACTCGGCCATCCTAATGAGACGGGTTTTGTACACCACCACCCCGCCTTATTTTATTTTATTTTTTTTTACCATAAGTATATGAAAGACAGAGTATATCTTACGGTAGATGGGCCAGGCTGTGGGATTTCCCGGATGCATAAGGAGCAGTAGTTTGGTTTAAGATTGGGGACACTGGTCTTTTTAAGGTCATAATTTTATTCTACAGAGGGTAAGTTTAATTTCAGAAGGGATTTGAGGAGCTGTTTCACACAGGCCCTCATTTTACAAATTGAGGGATCTGTCAATCAACTGATTCTGTGCGAACACACACACAAGCATATGCCTACCTAATCCAAGCATTCTCCTTTCAGGCTCTGTGACAACCTGGGATGCCTTCAATTACTTCAAAGGTGTTATCAAATTCTCAAAACAGCCCTGGCCGGTCTGGCTCAGGGTGCGTGCCAGAGGCACCAATGATACATTGATGTTTTTCTCTCTGCCTCCCTCCCATTCTCTTAAAAAAAAAAAAAAAAAAAGAAGAAGAAGAAAGAATATCCTCAGGTGAGGATTTAAAAAATAATAATTCTAGTTCATTTTAATTATGAAAATAAATACACATATACCCAGATTTTGAAGGGAGGGAGCCAAGGAATGCAAACACCAAAGCACCATTGAGTGTCACCAAGAGGGAGGTTACAGGGAGATTAGAATCTATAAGGCAGCCCTCAGGCATCACCTCTACCCATTGGGCCCCCAGACCAGTCTCCTTCCTGTTCTTCATCTGTACACCCCAAATTGCCTCTTCCTAGAATGCTCTCTTCCTAAGCCCAACCTCTCTTCTCATGAACATTGACATTTACTTTAAAAAGAGAGAGAGAGAGGTGTCTTCAACTATTTGCATTTTGTTTCCAAACTATTTCAGCTGTTTTTATAAAAAGTCCAACTGAACTTAGAGAGTTAGGAAAATAATTCCATTCCCTAAAATACCAGACGACTCCTAGATGGGTTTTTTTGGACAATGCTCTAGTATGACATAAAAAGGTTACATAGTCATCTTGTTGCCTGTATTCCTACTTTGGGATAATTTTTCTTAACAATTACAACGTGTGAGAAAACTCATCTCTTCAAAGTCATGACCGCACCCACCCCTTCCATCCTTTTTTAAGTCTTTGTTGGACTTCAGAACATCCCACCATGTTAGAGGCCATAGGGACCACTGATCACAATCTCTTATTTGACGGGTAGGAGAGCAGAGGCTTCAGTGTAGTAAAGGACTTGTTAAAGGCCACACATGTCGAGTGATGCAACCAGTGTTGGAACTCGGGACTAGGGCTCCCCAGCATATGTACACTTTCCACTGCACCATGTTGCCTTTACAGTGTCATGATTTTTCATACTGTCTTACAGAAACTCGGCACTCATTATGAACATAGGCTATGAATTTAACTAATGGGGTTCTAACCCCTACTCAACCACTTGCTACCTGGGTGGCCTCTCTAAGCCTCAGTTCCTCTCTGAATGTGGAGATGATCATTGTACCTACCCCTCAGGTGATCTTGAGGATAAATGAGATAATGCGAGTAAAGCCCAACGCTTGGCACAAAGAAGGCATCTGAGAAATGATAATGGCATGCAGACATGGGTTACATGCATTGGGTAGACTGTCACAGTTAAACCCAGGAATACAGTCTCCCCAGTTGCCAGCCACCATCCACATCCACGATAGGGCCCTAGATTGAGGGCCTGGCAGGGTGGGAAACAGGTCCCCTAGCCTGTCACTTCTGCTCCCCCCAGATCTGGAAGATTTCCAAGCCAGGAAGCTTGGCCTCACCCTGGAAGCTAAGCGACTCAGGCAGCTGGGAACCTCTTGCTCTTCCAGAGTGACAACAAGCACCTGTGCAAAGCCCCACCTGGGAGGACAATCAAAAGGCCTGTGTTTTATTTTGCTTTGTTTTAAAGCACACAGATTCCTAATCTCCTTTCTGCCACTCCCTCCCCTCCTCCACCAAAGCTGTTCCAAAGTCAGACCTAAATCCACATTTGAGGAAAATAAAAAACATACCCCAAAGAAGAAAAAAGTTGGAGGGTCACAATACTGTATATCAAACTATACTACAAAGCCATTGTAATCAAAACAGCCTGGTACTGGCATAAGAACAGTCATATACATCAATGGAACAGAACGGAGACCCCATAAATCAACCCACGCCATTACGGTCAATTAATATTTGACAAAGGAGGCAAGAGCATACAATGGAGTAGAGACAGTCTCTTCAATAAATGGTGTTGGACCCAGCTGGTGTGGCTCAGTGGTTGAGCACTGACCTATGAACCAGGAGGTCACGGTTTGATTCTTGGTCAGGGGACATGCCCAGGTTGCAGGCTCGATCCCCATTGTGGGGCGTGCAGGAGGCAGCCGATCAATGATTTTCTCTCATCATTGATGTTTCTCTCTCTCCCCCTCCCTTCCTCTCTGAAATCAATAAAAATATATTTTAAGAAATAAATAAACAGCAATTGGAATAGCGCTGCTTTATACTATTCTCTCTATATTTATCCATGTTTGAAAATTTCAATAATGAAACACTAAAACATTTTTAAAAAATAAAATAAATGGTGTTGGGAAATTGGATGGGTACATAAAAAAAAAAAAAGAACTGGTCCACCAACTTACACCATACACAAGAATAAATTCAAAATGGATAAAAGACAAATGTAAGTTGCAAAACCATAAAAATTCTAAAGAAAACATAGACAGTAAAATCTCAGACATCTCACATAGCAGTATTTTCACTGATACATCTAGGGCAAGAGAAACAAAGGAAAAAATAATTAAATGGGACTACATCAAACTAAAAAGCTGCACAGCACAAGAAACCATCATCAAAATGAAAATAACCCATGTGTGGGAGAACATATTTGCCAATGATACATCTGATAAGGCGTTGATTTCCAAAATACATAAAGAACTTATAGAACTTAACACCAGGAACATAAACAATCCAATTTTAAAAAATGGGCAAAGGACTTAAATAGACACTTCTCCAAAGAGGACATACAGATTGGCCAACAGACATGAAAAAAATGCTCAACATCACTAATCAGCGGAGAGATGCAAATTAAAACTACAGTGAGGTTTTAATCACCTCAACAATGGCTACCATCAACAAATCAACAAATGACAGGTGCTGGTGAGGATGTAGAGAAAAGGAAACCCTAGTACACTGCTGGTGGGAATGCAGGGTGGTGCAGCCAATATGGGAAAGAGTATGGAGTTGCCTCAAAAAATTGAAAATGGAACTATCGTTTGACCCAGCAATCCCGCTTCTGGGAATATATCCTAAGAATCCCGAAACACCAACCAGAAGGATTATATGCATTCCTATGTTCATAGCAGCATTATTTACAATAGCTAAGATCTGGAAACAGTCCAAGTGTCCATCTGTAGATGAGTGGATAAAAAAAGAAGTGGGACATTTCCATCATGGAATATTATGCAGCTGTAAAAAAGAAGGACATCTTACCCTTTGCAATAGCATGGATGGGCCTGGAGATTATTATGCTAAGTGAAATAAGCCAGTCTGAGAAAGACAAATATCACATGATCTCACTTAAATGTGGAATCTAATGAACAAAATAAACTGATGAACAAAATAGGTCCAGAGGCATGGAAACGGAGCAGACTGACAGATCTCAGAGGGGAGAGGGGGTGGTGGGGACAGAAAGAGATTAACCAAAGAACATATATGTGACTCAAGTGGAAGGGGTAATGGGGGAGGGGTAATGGGGGACATCTGTAATACTGTCAACAATAAAAAATAAATTTCAAAAAATCTTGTACTTCTAACCAAAAATTTCATACTCCCAAACCCTCCCATGACTGATTGAACTCTAAATCAAGTGCCTAAAGAAGAGTGAAGGCTGCATATTAAAAACATTGAAAGGTAACATTTGTGGAGTATTTGCTGTGTGCTAGGCCTGCACTTTCACATGCTGTGTCTCCCAGCCACGCTCTGAGGTCAGGACCATGATCATCCCCATTTCTCAGATGAAACTGGGGCTTGGAGCTGTTAAATGACTTGAACGAGGTCATATACAGCAACAGGTAACTGGAGCAGGAAGATCCAGGCTCTTAAAGTCGTAACACTCCTCAGCATTGTGTTATGGAGTCTTGCCAGCTAGCAAGACATAGAACTCAAAATGCCAGACCTTTTAAAGAGCGGTTAGAAAGGATCAAACCCAGACTTTTACTTGTAGGGATGAAGCCACCGAGGACCAGAGAAGCAGGGACGTGCCGGAGATCTCACAAGTTCGTGATTAGTAACTTGGGACTGGAACCCATCTCCTGCTTCCAGATCAGTGTTATTTCCACACGCCCCACCGATGGGAAATGGAGCTTTCAAACAAGCACGTGTATCATTCCATTGTGTGCATTAGTGAGCCGGGGCCTTGGCTAGTGGGGGGTCAGTGAAACTCAGGGCCAGCAGCTACGGACCAAAGAAAAGAGCAATCCTGGCTCTGGGTCCCTTCCTTAGATCCACGTGTCCATAGCCTGAGGCCGCCCCGGGAGTGTAAAACCCTCTGTGGATTCTAGGTGCTTTCTGGTATTGGGTGTGTGTGTACACAAGAGAGATGTCAGCGATAGTTAAATGAGAAATGGGTGTCAAGCACGTTTCTGTTGACTGAAGTTGTACTAGGTAATCGTGTTTCTTGGTAAGAAGTAAATCAGTCTCTAATTCTGTCTACTCCCAAATACCATAACTGAATGAGGGCACAGACACAATGGCAGTAAGAGAGCATTAGCTTTGCACATTCACTCGGCACCCTGATGTGAATTAAACCATATACTGTACCCACAACTGCCCTTCCTCCAAGAAGCAGAGCCTGAGAGGATTAGGGAGTCAGACAGACCTGGGCCTAGAAGACAGCCCTGCCTCAGTGAATACTCCTCGTGATTGTTCTCTGCCTGTTTCCTCATCCACAGCATGAAGGTTAGAACAGTGCCCAACACACAGGGTGGAGCAAGTGAAATGCCACAGGGCCTGGCATCAGTGAAAGGCAGCAACAATAATTACGATCAATCCTATAGGGTCCCCATGGCCTAGAGCCCTGGAGGAACTTGCCCCAGACCTCATAGAGTGTGTTCTCAGAACTGCCAGGCCTGGAAGGGCTCTCCTGTTTTCCTCTTTCTCCACCCCAACTATTTCCCCTAAGTCCCTGGACCTGGGGTTTCTAGGGCACCACTACAGAGAGGAGAGGTAAAATGACACTGGGGACATTCCGGCCTTCGTGACCTCACCAGGCCCCTCTCATAGTTCCTAGGAGCCCAGGCCTCCCCTGTTCCAGCTCCTCTCCCTCTGGCCTCCCTGTCTCCAGGTCAGGGTGCCGATCGGATTTGGGTTTAGATCCAAGCTTGCCCCC